TGACAATCTTTGTCTCCTTCATGAGTGTCTCCTTCTCGTCAAACTGTTCGGCCGTCAGTTCGCACTCTTTGGGATGGATTTGCTTTAAGACAACGCCAATCGCTTCCAACTGGTCGTGCAATACGTCGATGATCTCCACCTCGAAGTCGTACTGAATGGAGAGTGGATTGTGGCCATCGTTGGGAACCGTTCTCCAGATGGCGTGCCATCCGATGGGCTCAATACTGGACGTCACGTATTTGCAAAGACAATCGTTGACGCGATTGATGGCAACGTTGGCCAGAATGTCGTGGTATAGGTTTGTCAACTCGGATGGCATGAAACGGATCCGATATATGGACGGACACTCGTCCGACGCTTCAAACGATGTCTCCATTATATGTGTCTTGAGTTGTGTTGAGTAGTATTGCGGACAAGAAGTGCTGATCAAATGCTTTCACTTCTCGACAAACATTGGTTTTAAATATTTTTTGACAGTTTTTGCGTTCGCTTTGAATTCAATGCAACGAATGATACGTTCAGTCAATAATGCTTTGCCGCCAATACTTATACATACAATACGTGCCAACAATTGCTTTCAATTACTGTATATTTGTTTACGAAATTAATTAGAAATCATATCAAAGGCCTATCAATACTGTCCTCAAAGACATGGATTTTGTCCGAAATAATAAATTTTATTAAATATTTTATAAAATCTAATAATTTTAGATAAAAAACTTTAATAATTAAAGTTTGAGTCGAAAGAAAAGTGAACGTAATTTATGTGTCAATTGTTTGGCAAATAAGTCATGCTTTGAACGAAAAGTCAAACGAAAAAGTGGTTTAAATTTGAATAAATTCGCGGATCAATTGAAGTGATAATCAAAACGAATCGGTAATGGAGTCGATGGACACGGGTTTCGACGATCTTCTGCATCGCGCGGAACAGTTGACGGCAGAGATCGACGGCGAGTCAGAGTTGCCGCGAATCGAGCGAAACCTGAGACAACTGTTGGACGCCGGGGAACAGCTGTGGTCGCGGACCAGCGCTTCGGTGACCAGTCGGCAGACCAACGATGTCCGCGCGTCCGTCCTCTTGGGCTCCAAAGGCTACGATCTGCAGAAAGTGAGCCAACAGTTGGACTCATTGAGTGCCACCAAAAAGCTGTCGCCCATTGAGTCGATCGCCGAAACAGACATCAAAGGCTTCCTCAAGAGTGAGAGAGAGAACGCAATCGTGAGAATCATTGACGACATCCGGAAGTCGACGATCGAAAGGGCGGACAAACTCTATATGGATTCACTTCAACGCGAATGGGAGGACGAAAAGTCGAAAATATTGAACGCTTTGGTCGGACCCGAAGAGGACATCTCAGACTTCACGTCCAGTTTCGACATCACAAACCTGAGGCCGCAGAGCATATCGTCCACAACTCCTACTCACAAAACGCGGCTCTATTTCGAGCCAACACTGATCGACACGTCGGCCATCACTGCAATGAATGGCACAGAGATTGCGTTCGCCAAAGAAGTGGTGAAATACGTGGACAAAGTTGTCTTCGGAACCGTTCGCTCAAACATTGCCAACACTTTCTACACCAAAGTGGCGAAGGAAACCATCGGTGAGTCGCTTATCATTGATATGTGGGAAATGGTGTCCACTTTGGTGTCCAATGAAATTCCCGTTTCTGTGGATTGCGAACCACTTGTCAATAGATGTGATTCAAAAGTGAACGCATTTCTTGTCCGACAGTCGAAACTGTTTCTCGAAAGAAAATTTATTCAAACAATTCAATCGGTTGTTAACCCATCGGTGGTCTTCACTCAGACTCCCAGTCCTTCAGTTCTTTATAAACTAATGAGAGATTATTTGATAATTAAAACACCATTTTTGACAACTTCTTCGCTTAACGTGTCGTTTGGTTCGAGTAATATATCAAACAATTCTGAGGACGGATTAGTCGATGGAATTCCCATTTGGTGTTTCATTTGGTTCTGTCTTAGGGCTGGAAGTGTTGAGGCGGCCATAGAAGTGGCCAAAAAGGGCCCGATTTGGGTCATCAATGAGTTTATTAATGTATTGCGAGAATACAAACAAAGCGATGACCGAAACCTCAGTCAGAAGACAGAAAATCAGATTAAATTGTTATACAAAAAGACCATTCGTTTGAGTAATGATGTCTATAAGAAGACTGTATTCTCAATGTTGGGCTCGTGTGGTATCTCAGAGTTTCCCTCCGAAGTGTTGGACAAAGTGGACGACTTCTTATGGCTTCGTTTGAGTCAAATACAGAACTACGACAAAGACTCCGACACAAGTGAACTGTCATTCATGTCATCGTCGGTCTCACCGCAGCCGTCATCAGACAAACTCACGTACAGTAAACTGAAACAACAAATTAGCGAAGAATACGGCGAATCATATTTCAACGCCAAAGACCAGCCATTCATGTATTTCAAAGCCTTATTCCTCACCAATCAATTCGAAGCCGCCATTGAATTCCTGTTCAGAATCGACGCCTACAGGAGTCACGCCATTCACATCGCTATAGCTCTCAACGAAATGAATTTACTGATCATTCCTCTGCTTCACCTAAAAGTACCGCTCATTTCGAAGCAATCGTCGGACCCGTCGGGCGTTCAGCGATTGAATTTCGCGAAACTCATCACAATATATACCCGAAAATTCGAGACAAACAATTCAATTGAAGCCATTTATTACTTCTATTTGTTGCGTAACATAAAGACCGCTTCGGGAGAGAATCTGTTCACCACATCGGTGTCCAAACTGGTGAGGGATACCAAGAATTACGACATTCTGCTCGGCTATATCGGCGAAGACGGCTGTCGTATTCCCGGCACTATTGATAAGTTCAATAACGACGTGAACGCTATCATAGATCAAGTGGCCGGTGATCTCGAAGAAGGCGGCGCTTTCGAAGACGCCGTTAAGCTCTACGATTTGGGCGCAAAGCATAACAACGTTCTCCAACTTCTTAATAAAATGCTCAGTCCTTTAGTTCCCGAGCGAAGAGTAGTCGACTCAAAGAGGTCTCGTTTGGAGACATTGGCTTTAAAATTGGCCGAAAGGTATGTTTAGAATCGAAGCTCTTTTCCAGTGATTTAGTGAATTGAATGTTTGATTTGTTAAACAGATATTGCAGTCAAGAGAACAACGCGTTGCCAGAAGTGTCGCAAACGTTTTACCTGTTGATAGATTTGATGACATTCTTTGATTACTTCCATAGTCAGCAATACAGCGATGCACTCGATGTACAAAATGCTTACATTTTTTAAAAACAATTGTTGTTTGCAATTAAAGAATTTATTTTATTGTAGACTATAATGAAATTGAAGATAATTCCATTCAGAAGCGTTGACATCGATATGAAAGTGAATCAATTTAATCGACACTCAGAAGAAGTTCGAAGAAATATTGCGGACATTCTTTTGGCGACAATGAATATATTGTATTCACAATACAAGCAAATCAAGTAATTTTCAAAATAGTTTAATTCTCACTTTAATTCCGCTAATTCTATACTAAACAATGAATTTGTTTTATTCAGGTCTTCGACTCCACAAACAGTTAATAAATTCGGAATCATTGGAGACATGGATAATAAGGAACAGGTATTTGTTTTTTAAATAGTTTTTATAAAAAAAGTTATTTTTATAATTATTTGTTTGGATAGATATGCGCTGAGATGAGGGCAAAGGCCAGAGCTATCATTACATACGCGGGAATGATTCCCTACAGAATGCCCGGCGATTCCAACGCTAGACTCGTTCAGTTGGAAGTGTTGATGAATTGATTGTTTTAAACACATGAATATAAAACATAACATTTGCTGATAAATAAATACAAATTAATTTATGTAATCGATTATAATAATAATGCTTTGATTTTCAAATAAATAATTTTATGTTTAAATGTCAATTGAATTGAATGACGAGGAAATTCATTCATTCATTGAGCGTTTGCCTAATTTTTAAATTAGGCATTAAATGCAGTTTCGTTAGCATTCAATAAGTTGTGCTCAAGTGGTGTGAAAAGTAAATGCCATATAATTGAAAAGTACAGTAATATTTGTAAAATACAACCGAATGTAGGTTTAAATTGCGTTACATTTGTCTGCAAAACATAAAACACATTCATTTGCACACAATTAAAGTTTACGTTTGAAAACACATTTACGTTAAGTGAATAAAAGAGAGTAAAAGTGTTTCAAATGTAATAAAATTTCAATCATTTAAATTCAATAACAGTAATATATTATAGTGAAACATATCAATAGCTTTACAAGTGTTATGCAAGAGATTGTGTGCCACAAAAGTATTGAGAGAGTGTATGGGAGAGAGAGGGAGAGAGACTTGTATTAAGTATTGAGTTGTTGTGTAACAAACTGTAGACTCGACTGGAGTTGAGATTTAATATAAACAAAACTAATCGTCAAATGAATGAATGCATTGAGAAAACGATATAACAATCACTTCATAGCGAGTATTGTATCGACAAAAATACAAACAAATCAAAGCTAAACACAAATCCACTAAACGTTTAATTTTGCGCTCAATTTGTGTGACAATTGTATCAACGGATCCAATGTTGCCATCGATTGGCACTTAATTACATGTTTTGTCACTAATTAATCACATTTTTGTTGATTGTGTTGTGTTTTGTTGGTGTGATTTGTATTGAAAAATGGATGACAACAACCAGTTCTCAGGTAATTGTCTCAACACTTCCACTCCTTAAGACACCATTTCCATCATTAGTCACCATTCAATTGATCACTCAATCTATGGACACGTTTATCGCTGTTTTGCTTATTATTATCACATTATTTCAGACAATATTACCGTTAATTCAATGATTAAATAACAACCGCATTATATTTGTGCCCAAATTTACCATAATTTTACATTTAATATTCAATTATGACTTGAAATCTGTTTACAGATATTTGTCGCGTTTGTCGATCGGAAGCGCTTCCAGACAAACCTCTCTTTCATCCATGTATTTGTACGGGAAGTATCAAATATATCCATCAGGATTGGTATGTATTGATATTACCGTTTGGTTTACAGTTAATAATTGTATTAATGGTTAATTTTGGGATCAATTGCCGATAGTTTGGTCCAATGGCTAAGATATAGCGAAAAGGAGTTCTGCGAGTTATGTAACCATCGATTCTCATTCATTCCGAGTAATTATTTGTTAATAATTTTGATAAACATATGATAATCAGATTGTGTTGTATTTGCAGTCTATTCGCCAGATATGCCCAAAAGACTGCCGATTCGTGATATAATTAGCGGTCTCTTCGGCTCTTTGGGAACAGCCGTTCGCTATTGGATTCACTACACTCTGGTGGCGGTCGCGTGGCTCGGGATCGTCCCATTGACAGCCTGTATGTCCTATTATCTCAGTCTATATGCCATCAATTCACTGATTATTATATTGTTTTTGAATTCTTAGACCGAATATATCGGTCATTGTTTAGCAATTCAATGAATTCAGTGCTCACTTTGCCGTTAGATATGTTCAGTACTGAGAATATAATATCCGATGGTTTTTACGGCTGTTGTGTCGTCACCTGTACTTTGAGTGCCTTTATTAGTCTGATTTGGCTCAGAGAGCAGATCCTGAGAGGGGGTGGACCCGATTGGCTCGAACAGCAGCTCAATCTCCAGAATCCTGTGCAACACATTCAGGACGGGGGTGAAGACAACGAGGACAGGAATGAGCCCAACAATGACCCCATGAATGATAATAACAACGATGAAGGCATCGGTGATGACGATGAGGATAATGGAGACGAGCCCGACGTGGCTAACAATCAGGACGTCGGAGACATCATTGAAAACAACCAAAACGAGATCCAAGTGATTGACAATCCAAACGCTGCCAACGCTGTCGCTAATGCGCCCATCGATGCCGCCGCCGCTCAAGACTGGAATCCAGCCGTGGAGTGGGACAGAGCCGCTGAAGAGTTGACGTGGGAAAGGGTTAGTTGTGTCATATATTGCTATTATTTACGCTCAGTTTTGGATAATTTTTATTCAGATCTTAGGACTCGACGGTTCGCTAGTATTTCTGGAGCACGTATTTTGGGTCATATCACTGAACACACTGTTTATTGTGATCTTCGCGTTCTGTCCCTTCCATATCGGAAACTTCATTATTTCTAAAACCAATTTTGATTCAATGATATCGTCGACACATTTCGACGGCTTTGTCACCACATTATGCGGTTATTTAGCGGTCGGATTAATTCTAGTCATTCTTCATACGTTGGCATCGGTTACTCGATTCCGGCGAACGGAACGGCTATTAGGGTTGTGTTATGTGGTGGTGAAGGTGTCACTGTTGTCGGTGCTGGAGATCGGAGTGTTCCCATTGGTGTGCGGCTGGTGGCTAGACATCTGCTCCCTTCCAATGCTCGACTCGACCATTCAAGACCGCACTAATAGCTTTCGTTTAGCTCCGGGAACGTCAATGTTTATCCATTGGTTGGTGGGAATGGTGTATGTCTTCTACTTCGCGTCATTCATTCTACTGCTCCGGGAAGTGCTGAGACCAGGAGTTCTCTGGTTTCTCCAGAACCTAAACGATCCCGACTTTAATCCCATACAAGAGATGATTCATTTGCCAATCATTGGTCACATCCGACGCTTTTTGGCCTCTTTGGTCATATTTGGCACAACTGTTCTGTTGATGATTTGGTTTCCCGTTTGTCTCGTTCAGAAGATTATTCCCGAATTCCTTCCCTATAATGTGGTTCTTTCGAAGTGAGTATTTGTTTGAATACACTTTTATATAATGTATTCATAAATATCATTAACAATAATTAACAATTGTGTCATATAGTGAATCTCCTGTGAGCGAACTATCTCTGGAGTTCTTATTACTTCAATTGGTATTACCGGCCCTCTTAGATCACGGCCACCTTCGACAATGGCTTAAGATGTTAGTCCGTGGCTGGTGTCTAGTCGTCTCATACCTGTTGGACATTAGGTCCTATCTGTTAGGAGACACTCTTCCAAATGATGAACCCATTGATGACAATCTCGAAAATGTTGGCCTCAACGGGCAGTTACGCAATGAATTAGTGAGAAACGGTTTCATTCGTCCGCAACTGTTCTCTATGCGAATATTCTTATTACTGGTATTCACGGCAATGTCTCTACTATTGGGCGGTTTCTTTGTATTGACGGTTCCGGTGATTGTCGGCCGACGTCTTATCGGTCTATGGATGGGAAGCGTTAAAGTGCATGAACTGAATACCGCCGCCTGCGGTCTATATGTTGGTCTCGTGATGACAAGAGTGACAACACTTCTGTGTTCATGGATTCCTCGCGGATGGTCTGCTATAATGAATAAAATCAAAGAATGGGTTACAATCACTTGCAAAGCGTTATTATCGGCAGTCGTCCTCTTGGGTCTGATTCCACTTCTCATTGGATTACTATTTGATGTCGTTATCATAATTCCACTGCGAGTTCCACTCAATCAAACACCAATCTTCTATCTATGGCAGGACTGGGCGTTTGGTGTCCTCCACACTAAAGTCATTTGCGGAATCGGTAAACGATTAACTCATTTCTGTTTTAAGCTCTAATTATACTCTAATTATGTGCCTTTTTATTACACAGCAATGATGGGTGAGTGGAGACTACGGGAAGTGTTGGAAGAGGTTTGTAATGTATTGAAAATGTGTTTGTGTAATGAACTAACAGCGGATGTGTTGTGTGGCAGATATATCACGGCGGACTCACACACATCAACCTGAAGCTCATTCTTGTGAGACTAGCGATGCCTGTTGTGGTGACATTGGGTCTAATACTGGCGCTGCCATACATCGCGGTCAACAGTATATTCCCGTTGTTTGGGATGGCATTACAGATGCAGAACCTAATGAACCGACGTATCCATCCATTACTACTATTAGGCACTGGTATAATATATCTAATCCATTGGCAAATCCATAAATTCTATCGATTGTATGAACACATCAAGAATGATAAGTATTTAGTCGGCCGTCGATTAGTTAATTACGACCCAATCATTAAGACTATAAGGCCTTCAAATACTCTAAACGAATGAACGTTTGATTAATTTATTGTAGATTTTATTTCGTTATGTTTATTAAGAAATATATATTAAAAATCAAGTTTTGTTTATTGAAACGCTAAACGGTTTATAAAACAAAAAAAAAGTATAAAACGATTTACCCATTTATATGTGTATATAATTCAGTGAAATATTGAAATTCAAATAAATATATATTTGTTTATAAAAACGATTAAAATATATTAAATAATAATTTAATTTCGAGATATGTATCCTTAAGAATCATTTACATTGAGATTAGCATTGAATGCCTGCTCTAACGACAACACCTCTTCATCCACTGCCTCTCGGGCTGAGGCTCTGTCTGCCGATTGTGTCCCGCAATTGTCTTCATGTGTATCTGTATCTTCACTGCCATCCAAAGGTTGGCTTTCATTTGAATCTAAATGGAAGTAATAAATGTGATAATTATTGGATCCATAAATGGTATCAATCGGTGATTACTGTCTGCGGCGACGGAAGAGCTGTGAGTTTGCGACAAAATGTGACTGAATTGAGTGCGAAGTCCGGCCACGCCTTTAGTGGTCGGGTCGAGCGGTTGTCGACGGATACGTCGGATCCGATTGGGATCGAGACGTCTGTATTGAATCATTCTCTGCAAGTCTATCACATAAACAAAGCCCGCGACCAGTACTTCCAGCGACGGCTCATTGGCTTTATATGCCTTATGGATGTCGCGTGAAGTGCGGCAGTCGTAGAGCCACCAGCCGTTGCGGCCCTCGTATTGCCACTCCATGTTGTCGTCCGACCGCTCGGAACCGTCGCCGCCGTCTTCGTTGCGCTCGTCGTCGCGATCGTCATCCGCGGTGTGACGCCAGTGGACGGCACCGATGAGGTCGGGTCTGTCGAAGTAGTTGTGAGCGATTGGGTGGCGACAAACGGGACACCGATTGTTGGACTGTTGAGCGGATCCCTTCACACACAGGTAGCAGAAGACGTGCCGACAGTCCAGTCGTACGCCATTCAGACATCGGTCCAGACATACGGCGCACTCAAACACGTGTCCATCGCTGGCCTCCGCACCACTTGTGGCCACACAACTGTTGTCCTCCACCGCCGCCGACGACGACCTCCACATCACTTCACTTAACACTTGTATTGAAGTGTATTTGCATTCAAAACAAACAGATCTGTCATTGAATTGAATGAATGGTTAATA